ATTTATCACGGATAGTCGCTGTTTGAAGTTTCAATTAAATGATTTGTCGACACGGTAGTCCATTGTCACGTAAGTTACTAAATAATTAATCACCTGACACCGCATATCAATAGTTATCCTCCATTATTCGGTTGGATGCTAACCTATGACGCATGAGTAACCGAAAACTGTTGTGTGAGATTAGGACCCAAACAAGCATGCAAGTTTGTTGTCAAAACATTGGATCGTTCAATACGCAGGCATTTTCTAAGACGAAATCATAGTGATAGACTTTATTTTAAGCTCGTGCTTACTTTATTTCGGTTTGTTTGAAGTTGAGCACAAAGCTACATAATGGACTGTCTGTGCTCTGCTGACCACGGGTATCGAAACCTGGTTTCTAGCGTTGTAAGTCTGCAGACTTGCCGCTGCGCCACTGGGGGGGGGGGGGGCTTTATTTCGGCTTGTGGTGAAGTTGGTTTATTCTGCTATCAAATTACAGAGAATTTAACTCGAGATAGGAAAGAATCAGAGTCCAGACGTACTCGAGCTAGGAAAGAACCAGAGTCCAGACGTACTCGAGATAGGAAAGAATCAGAGTCCAGACGTACTCGAGCTAGGAAAGAAACAGAGTCCAGACGTACTCGAGCTAGGAAAGAACCAGAGTCCAGGCGTACTCGAGATAGGAAAGAATCAGAGACCAGACGTACTGAGCTAGGAAAGAAAAGAGTCCAGACGTACTCGAGATAGGAAAGAATCAGAGACCAGACGTACTGAGCTAGGAAAGAAAAGAGTCCAGACGTACTCGAGATAGGAAAGAATCAGAGTCCAGACGTACTCGAGCTAGGAAAGAAACAGAGTCCAGACGTACTCGAGCTAGGAAAGAACCAGGGTCCAGACGTACTCGAGCTAGGAAAGAACCAGAGTCCAGACGTACTCGAGATAAGAAAGAATCAGAGTCCAGACGTACTCGAGCTAGGAAAGAAACAGAGTCCAGACGTACTAGGAAAGAATCAGAGTCCAGACGTAACTTGTTGATAAGTAACCAACCAACATAAAATTCAACTTATATTTAATTTTTCATAATAGACTTTTCTATATACTTAACAATTCAATTCGTCCCCTAATAATTTTCTTGAAAATTCATGACACTTTTGGAATAGTCTTAACACGTGATATAGTCGTACCGTCGTCCATTTTAACGTATTCTATTCAAATATCATAATCGAGCTATATGTTACTGTTATATATTGTTATATTACATTTAGCTATTTTCACGTGTAGATCGAGGTTAGAGCACTCCATATCTTCTTCCAAGGGTTCCGCCTCTGTGGCTGCCGGCAGTAAAGAAACGTTAACGCCACGATTTTCTCAACAGACGTGAAGGAAACCGGTCTACAATGTAAAGAGTAAGCAGAACACGCTGGGTTCGTCAATGTCACCTGTTCGTCTCCTAACCCTGAAAATTCACCTGTTTTCTTCACTGAATTTGTGGTAGACGCAGTTTTCATGTTTTTTTCTTTCTTTTTTCTCTACTGGTGTACTTACTGAATACAGTCACTGGATTTCTTGTTAAATAACATATATTTCGCTTTTCAGTATTTTAAGTTTCCACGAACTTTGTAAAAGCAACCAAAACAATGAATAATTTTGTTCAAAACCACTGTTTGATGTTCTTTATCACGTATCGTAATAGTAAACAGAATACCAACAGTAAAGGTGAGTTTTATTATTGAAGTACTTCAAAATAAACAGAACTTTCATGATATAAAGACTGTTTGGTTTATATATTAGTAATTAATTTATTGTTACGTCTCCGTTTGTTAATTGATTATCCGTAACTTCGTTCCGACGAAACTTTAGCGACACAAGTCCTTAC